AGAAGACAAATGTCTAGGGGTATATTTACAGAGCCTCTATAGAAAGATAAAAGCCAGAGTACAGAAAAAAAATGTCTAGGGGTATATGTACAGAGCCTCTATAGTTTTTTATGGGTGCAAGGTTCTGTTAAGGACATGCTACTGACATACTGAATGAACAAGAACAGAAAATAACAACCGGTGAAATGCGATGCCTCCGTAAGGTCACTAACACTAAGAGGAGACATGGTTGCTAATGCCAGGATTAGAAAGAAAGTTGAAACAAGACAGCGTTATTCACTTGTAGTGACATATAAACAGTGAAAAGGTTCGATCAACTAGTGAGACTGCAACCAGACTAAACTACATATGAGACTTCTACAGCAGAACATATGGAAGGAAGGCTGGTAGGGGGTATGGGGGGCGACTAAGAAAGCAATGGACAATGATGTAGCCTAATGATACAAATCCGTCACCCAAGCAACCGGGAAACACAAGAGAAATACAGAAAACTACGAAACTGGGTTACAATCTGATAACAGTGAGAGACAAAGAGAACAAGGTTCTTCTTCTTCTTCACTTCCTCTTTTACCGCTGTGGGTGTCGAGGGAGATATAAGGTTCTGTTTCTAGCTCTTCTGGCCGCCTCGGCCATAGGCACATCGTGCTGTTGTAGAGTTTCTCTGATGTTATCCTTCCATCTTGTTCTTGGTCTACCTCGTGCTCTACGTCCTTCTTCTCTTTCCATGTATGCTTTGTATGGTATGGTGTCACAAGGCATTCTCTCTAAGTGGGCAAACCATTTCACTTGCTGTCTTTGTGTGTAATCCAGAATTGGTTCTGTGCCGACTTGTTCTCTTATGATCTCATTCCTGATCTTATCTCTTATGGTCACTCCTACAACCCTTCTCAGACATCTCATTTCCGTGGTTACTAATTTTCTTTTATGGTTTGTTGTGAGTGACTATGTCTGGCACTGGTAGCACAGAGTTGGAATAAATATGCTTTGAATAAGATGTCTCTTTGTGCTGATTGGGATTGTCTTATGCTGTAAGAGGTGGGCTAGCTGTCCCAATACTTGGTTTGCTTTAATGCATCTAATGTTAATTTCTTTATCCAATTTCCCATCTTCGGTAAATGTAGTTCCCAGATATTTAAACTCAGATGCCTGTTTAATGCCTTTGTATTCTATTGCTATGTTTAGATCTGTCTTCTTTTTTCCTATTGACATTACTTCTGTCTTTTCAGTGTTGATTTTCATATTATTTGTTTTACATTCTTCATTCATGGATGTTAGATGTTGTTGCAATTTCATGGCTGTATCTGCTATCAAGGCCTGGTCATCTGCAAAGAGTAATTCGTTGATCTTACTAAGATCTTCATTCATGGGATTGGTATTCTTGCATATACTGTCGATGTAGGTGATAAACAGCAGTGGTGATAAGACACACCCCTGTCTTACTCCAGATGTCACTGTAAAAGGATGAGATGTTCCCTGATTTATTCTAACTACACTTCTACAATCCCTGTATAAACTTTTGCACACTTCGATGAGGTGTTCGCTTACTCCATATCTTGCCTTTACTTTCCATAATAATTGTCTGTCGACTCTGTCAAATGACTTCTCCTGGTCTACGAACGCCACAAATAAGTTCTTATTGTATTCAATGTTCTTTTCTATTAACTGTTTAAGTGTGAAGATTGCATCTGTGCAGCTTCTATTTCTCCTAAATCCCATCTGTTCTTCTGCCAGCTGTGGTTCTATCACTGGTCTCAGTCTTGTTTCTATTATCTTGGCATACATTTTGCCAACATGGCTGAAAAGAGAGATGCCTCGATATTGACCGCATTCTCGTTTGCTTCCTTTGTTCTTCCACAATGTTATAACTATTGCATGTTGCCAATCAATAGGGGCCGTTTGTTGTACCCATGCTGCATTGAATATTCTGTGAAGCCATCTAATGCTGCTTTCACCTGCTGCTTGAATTATTTCTGTTGGTAATCTATCAGCTCCTAGTGCTTTATATTTGGGAGACTGTTTAATGACTTTTTCTATTTCATCCATTAGTATTTGTGGTTCTAACACTGTTGCTCTGTGCTCTTCAGTTGTTCTTTCCTGATGATCTCCTAGAGGATTAAAGAGCTCATTGAAGTATTCCCTCCATCTTTCTGCTATCTCGGGTGGATCTATCAATGGCTTTGCTGTCTTATCATTAATTATTTCAGTGGGGTTGTAGCTCTCATCTCTTTTCCGCATATTTTTAACTACTTTGAAAATTTTTCTGCTGGCTGTTTTCTCATTTTCTGCTAGTGACTCACCGAAACGTTCCCAGGATGCTTGATTTGCTTTCTTGACACTCCTGTTGGTTTCTCTTCTTTGCAGTTTATAGTTTATATAATCTTCTTCTTTCTTTGATTTTATCCACTGTTTATAAGAGAACTAGCTGTACCCGGCCACGCGTTGCTGTGGCGTAATTTGAGATAGTCTTTGATCCCCCCCCCCCCACAACTAAATCCACCTACTACCCTCTCCCTCATCACAGGTTTTTTAGAAAAGAAAGACAATGGAAATCGCACCTGTCTAATAAAGTTAATGACGCAGTCAATGTCTGCGCTTACGTCGAGATAGTCCTTGATTGCCCCCCCCCCCCCCCCCCATCGAAGGTTGTTTGAAAAAAAAAGAAAATAGAAATCGTGTTTAATATGGTGATTGTGGCAAATATAGAGATAGTCTTGTTTGCGGTACCTCGACCTACTCTATGTATTAAGGCGTTGGCTGCACGTAACTCGCCGGCGAATGGCAGAAACCTTGCGTTCTGACTACGGCGGCGCATGCGCAATTACTAACGTGGCTATAATTAGAAATCACTAAAGTTATAAATATTAGTTGCGAATATAATGGCATAAATTGTGGTCACCTATCTCTAACACTGACAGGTTGGATTTCAAACCACGATGGTTCAAAATCCGGTATCAAAACAAACATATCCTGAAAATTTCAGCTAAATCGGTTCAGTAGTTTCCGAGTCTATTGGGGCAAACAAACACACAAACACATGATATTTTTATATATATAAATAGTCTGGTTTTCCAACTTTAGAACACGCACCTTATAATTGTGTCTTTATATTAGTGGTCGTTTAAATGGTGCTATTAGCACGGTAACAAAAGTGGTTATTTGGTTATCACATGCTAAAGCTGTTTGTATTTTTATAGGAGACGGAAGTAAAGCTACAACTGTACTTGTGAATAACAAAGTAAGTCGTAAAAAATAGAAAAGCGGAGGTAGCGTTAGTAAAATAAAAACAAATTAGGTAATGAGAACTTGAAAATCAAGTGTAAAGCTCTTTAATTTCTCTTAAATTTAAGTCATTACCCCCTCCCCTCTTCCACCGACTACTGCTCTCTCCCTCTTCGAAGGATTTGAAAATCACTAACTGGCGATATTTTGTTGTTGCTGTAACTGACATTGACATCCCTGTCCATCTGGACTAAAATAGGGAGCAGGAATTGTAAAAGGTAGTGAATAGGGCTAGTGTAATATTTACCACATCATCCTTCAAGTACCAGTACAACTACTAAAATAATGTCACTGCTATCTGTGTTACCATCGGAGTAGACAGAGAGTCGTGAGCCAGAAGATTTGGTTCCGCATGGCTAGTGCTGTCGCCACAGACTGGTCAGGTTAGGATGTACAATTTCACTTGCCGTTAGAAGAATGCCATAACCTTACCGGCGGTCTTCACGTGACTTAAAGCTCTCTCAGTAAATAGTTTGCCCCCCCCCCTTCCTCCCCCCAAATTCACCGACAACTCTTTCCCTCATTGAAGTAGTTGGGAGAAAAAAAAAAACACTTGAAAAGCAAACGAACACAGGGAAAAAAAACCATAATTAGGAAATGAACGCCATTGTAAACAGCACAGCTTAAAATTCCAACACAGATGAAATAACTAAATCGAAATGAAAATCTATAAAATTTCAGCGTAACCATGCAATCGGAAAGTTTAACAATGCAATCATAAGTATGCGAAATGGTCAAATGTAATTATCAAACGGTTTACCCATTTACTTGTTTTCTTTTTTTTTTTTTTTTTTTTTTTAAGGCAACATGGCTAGTGCTGTCACCACGACAGAGCAGATAAGGTTTTTTTTTTTTAGTCCGGGGTAAAAAAAAATATAACGACTGCGGATTCGAACCCAGGTCTACCGCACATGAACCCAGTGTTCTAACCATTCGACCAAGCAGCCATTTAATCGGAAACGAAAAGAGAACTTAACTATTAGACACATGTGTCCCTACCACTGTGTCGCGATGAAAACACAATTCAAAACCGCAGGCAATTGTTTTCTCGTAGACAGATACTCCAGATATATTAATGAAATAGAAATCGCACGTGTCTAACACGGTTAATGAAGTTAATGTCGCAGTCTGAGTCACTGTCTGCGCCGACGTCGAGATAGTCCTTGATCCCCCCCCCCCCCCCCCCCCCCCCCCCCCCCCCACCCCCCCCCCCCCCCCCTTTTTCATCGAAGGTTGTTTGAAAAAAAAAACAGAAAATAGAAATCGTGTTTAATATGGTGATTGTGGCAAATATAGAGATAGTCTTGTTTGCTGTACCACGACCTACTCTATGTATTAGTATTAGAGAAGGCGTTGGCTGCACGTAACTCGCCGGCGAATGGTAAATACGGCGCATGCGCAATTACTAACGTGGCTATAATTAGAAATCACTAAAGTTATAAATATTAGTTGCGTATATTTTGGCATAAATTGTGGTCACCTATCTCTAACAGTGACAGGTTGAATTTCAAACCACGATGGTTCAAAATCCGGTATCACAACAAACATATCCTGAAAATTTCAGCTAAATCGGTTCAGTAGTTTCCGAGTCTATAGAGACCAAACAAACACACAAACATTGATTTTTATATATATAGAAGAAGACAAGGTTACCAAGTGTAATTTACAGTAAGTAATAACAGCTTATTTCATGAAAAGTTTGTTAAATATTTCTTTTTAATTTAGGCATCATCTGGAATGAATGACTCTGCGTGTTTCCTATAGTAAACATTAATATTATTCTTTAACCAATAGAATGACGAGGCTTGGCGAAGAGGTTCTCCTGCTTGTAGATTGATATGAAATCCCCGTTTGTTGAGTTGGGCCACCACATCCACCAATGGTTTATTGTTCACATGAGACAGTCCCTCTTGACCTGTGAGAGTGTGTACATCAGTAAATATGTGATACCGAAACACGTGAATTAGTATAATATGGTTACTGTTGTGAGCAATATATAGATACAGAAACTTGTTACGACGTTTGGGTGTATAGTCCATGCAAATATGTGCAGTTTTCCATGTCACAGATGCCGCACTCAGATCACTTTCCATCGTTCGTCTCCATGTTGTTTTTGGGCGCCCCTGTTTTCTCTTTCCCCCTGGTGTCCATGTGAGAGCTGTTTTAGTAGGTATATCAGGATTAATTCTCATGACGTGGCCAAGCCATTTCCATCTTCTCTTGGTTATCATACTGTCCAGAGTTTCTTGGTTTGTGACTTGAAGCAGTTTAGTGTTTGAGATTGTATTTAGCCAGATTTGATAATTAATTTGATTTTGATAATTCTACGTAGACATGTGTGGTGGAAGGTGGACAGCTTGTGTGCATCCTTTTTGGTCATTCTCCAGCATTCTGCTCCATAAAGGAAAACTGGCAAAATTATGCTCTTGTAGATCGGAGTTTCGTTCCTCTGAAGTAATTGTTGGATTTCCAGATTTGCCGCATCCTTCCAAAAGCAGCTCTAGCTTTCTTCAGACATGACTGTATGTCCTCTTGGGTCCCTCCCGGTAGGGACACCTCACTACCAAGATATGTGAAATGTTCTACATTTTCAAGTTTGGTTATTTATGGTCACTGGTTGTTGGTTTGGACTGCTTGTCGTGATCTTAGTTTTCTTTGTATTTATTCTCAGTCCCACCATTTCTGCTGTGCTGTGTAGTCTGTTACTTTTTTATTGTATATGTTCATGATTGTGTGATAGGAGTGCTACATCATCTGCAAAATCAAGGTCCTCAAGCATGGTGAAAAGAGTCCATCTATTGCCTCTCAATGTCATGTCTACTGTTTTCTTTAGTATCCAATCAATCACAAGGTTGAAAAGGAGAGATGACATAACACATCCCTGTCTTACATATGTCTTTACTGGAAAAGATGTATTGTAATTTTTAATACTGCATGAAAAGTCTTTATAAAGGAGAGCAATTATGTTGACTATTATTTTTCTGGAATTCCATAATGTCGTAAAATAGACCGTCTCTATGGTCAAAAGCTTTCTCAAAGTCCACAAAATTAATATATATACTTCTCTGCCATTCATTGCATTGTTCTAAAATGTTACCTATGGCGAAGATGTGCTCAGTTGTTCCTCGGCCCTTTCTGAATCCTGCTTGTTCCACTCGTAGGCATTTATCTACTCCTTTTTCAAGTCGCATTATGATGATTTTACAAACAATTTTGCTTGGTACTGAGAGTAGAGTAATTCCCTTCCAATTATTGCAGTCTGTTAAGTCTCCTTTTTGGGGGATTTGGACTATTGTTCCTCAAGTCCAGTCATCAGGCAACACTTCTTTTTCCCAAATATCCTTGAACAATGGTTCTAGAATGCTAGCAGTTGTATTGGATCTACTTTGAGAAGTTGTGCTGGCAGTTCGTCTTTGCCTGGTGCTTTGTTGTTCATTAAAGTGTGGATAGCTTTAAGAATTTCTTGTTTGCTTGGTGGTTCAGTAATAATGTCAAGGTCCTGAGAGGCTGGTTGAATATCTGGGGGATTTTCAGGATCAGGTCTGTTCAAGAGGTTGGAGAAGTGTTTAGTCCACTGCATGTCTTGTTTTTGTTCTGTGGTGAGCAGTCTGCCTTGGTTATCTCTGATGGGTATACTGTGATAATTGTTTCTGTTTCTGCAAATTTGCTGGGTAATTTTGTGAAGGGTTTGTAGGTCATGTGCTTTAGCAGCACTTTCTGTTGTTTCTGCAAGATTTTCCATAAATCTTCTCTTGTCAGCTCTGGCACTTTTATTTGTCATTTTATTCAGTTCACTATATTCTAACATTAGTTTGTCTTTCTGACGTTTTGATTTAGTGTGATTTATGAGACTCTCTGTTCTTTTTCGCTTGGCAATATAGTCCATGGTTTGACTGCTTATCCATTCTTTGTGGTGTGGTTTCCTGGTTCCTAATATGCTATTGCTAGTTGATTTGTATGTTTCTATGATCTGGTTCCATCTTTCTTGAATGCTGATTGTAGTTGGAGTTTCTGGGTCACTTGATAGGGTTTGAAATCTATTCTTGAGTTCTACTATAAATTTAGTGGCAATGTCTTTTTCTCTTAAAAGGTTAACATTGTAGAGTGCTATCTGTGTCTTAACTTGCGTGTGAACTTTTTTGAGTTTAAGTCGTAGTAGAGCAACTACAAGGTGATAATCGCTTCCTATGTCTGCTCCCCTTTTTAGGCGAACATCAAGTAGGGACCTACGCCATTTTTTTTTTTACCATGAAATGGTCGATCTGGTTTACATCTCTTCCATTTGGGGATATCCATGTAACTTTGTGTATATTCTTGTGAGGAAATAGTGTTTCTCCTATAACCAGTCTATTCACCGTGCAGAAGTCGCTCAGTCTTTCCTTGTTGTCATTAATTGTACCACATCATTGATTTCCAATTGATAGTTCTCTATTCAAGTTGTTGTTACCAACTTTTGCATTAAGGTCTCCCATAATGCATAGAATATCATGGGCTGGTACTTTATCTACTACCTCTGCCCGGCTCTCTAGCGAAGTTGGTTAAACCTGACTTTCGCGGCGGCCGGGTGACGAACTCCTTATGGTCCGGGTTCACTCCCGGGGGTAGGCAGAAAAGCCACATTTCTCCCAGATTTACGGTACCTATAATGGAATCAATGCCGAAGGGTTGCGATATCCATAGTACCGAGCCAAAGTGTTTACAACTCATGGTTTCTGGATACGTAAAAAAAAAAAAAAAATCTACTACCTCTTGCAGTCTCTCAAAAAATGTTTCTTCATCTTCGTCCTAAGCTCCATTAGTTGGTGCGTAGCACTGGATAATTGTAAGTTTGGCATGTTTGCCATTGAATCGTGCTGTCATTATTTTTTCATTGATTGGATGCCACTCGATGAGATGTTTGTTTAAACCTTTCTTTAAAATAAGTGCCACGCCTGCAGAATGTGGGTTATCATCTCTTCCAGAGTATATTATGGTTTCTCCTGTACCTGTTGTGAATTGTCCAAACCCTGTCCACCTGCTCTCACTGATTCCAAGAATATGCAGTTTATAATTCTGCATTTCTTTAATTACTTGGGTGGTTTTGGCCGTTTCAAACATGGTTTTTACATTCCAGAAGCCAATTCTTAATTTGGTTTTAACATCCAGCAGACTTGTTTTCCCATCATGGGCTTCCTTTCGGCTTTTACCCATGTTGTTCATGCTGACGAAGGGACTCTGTCCCAAGACCGCTGGACGTTTAGAGCACTTATTTCCTCTTGAAGTTTCAGTAACTTTGTAGATTTTTTACAGTGCAGAGCTGTCAACACTGCGCCCAACCCCAGAGCATGGAAGACCGGGAGGCCATCTTTAGTCTGGCGCCTCACCAATGACCTGTCCGGCTTGGGGGACCCTTCCAGGAACATACGTTTCCGCTGGCATAGCTCATTAGACATATATACAACACTTATATTCTTTGAGTTTTGATATAAACTTATTAGCGTATATCCGTGCAGCTGGGGGAAACCGTAGAGTCTTTATGAAGGAATGTGAACCAATGTCTTCATGCTAGGCATGAGAGAACTCAGGTGGACATTGTGAAATGTGTGTTGATTTTAGAGGCAGTTCACTCCACGAAGTCGGAGGAGCAGTTGATTTCACGTCGTCGGAGAGGAAGGACGGACCGTCACGTTGCCGTAGCATCAAGGTTCCAGGGTGATATTTTTCGTGATGTGAGGTTTTGGCGATATCTCGAAGTAACGTGGTAAATAGCAGGATGACTTTAGCAAGGACACGGATTTCAGTGAGGAAGAGTTGCGCAGTTCGTCGACCTCTCTCTTGACTGAGCTGATCTGCATTTAATGGCAGGACAATGTCGAGACGATTGGAAATGGACCTAGGTGTAGTGGGTGACCAAGGCGTCTTAAGTGCCCTGCCTTGCTCAAAGCTCTCCACAGAGCCTGCTGATATTCCCGTCCGTTAAACCATAGGAGGTTTCATCTACACAGTCCGCCGAGTCCAGTCTTTGCATGTAGGGTCCGATGGTACCAATAGCAATCTGAGTGTGTGTCCGTCCTAGCTGTCCTCTGAGTGTTGAATGTCAGCCAAAACCCTTTGTTTTTCACTATGGAGTCCTTCTCTTCGGACCGTGACGATCTATTTGTGCTTTCGCGCTGTTCACGCGCTCCCAAAGGGCTTTGATCACATCTAGCTTGTCAGGCAACAAGTTACCACCAAATGATGTATTACACCATTTGCATGACCCGGAGACAAGATGCTACCACTCAGCACAGATCATTCTTGTCTCCATCGTCCTCAGCATGTTTCAGAGTCGTGACTGCCTTCACTTCGCTTCGTTTCACTAAGTGTCGTCCATTCACTTTTGCAATGAAGCGCCACGCACTTCTGTGTCTCAACACGGAAAAATCTATGTAGATAATCACATCACCTAGGAGAAAATTTTCATGAATCAGACGTTGAATTTCTGACTCTTCGTTAGTTAGGTAGTTAGTTTAGTTATTTAGTTAGTAAGTTGACAGATTACGCTCATTGTACATCGAATCTTTTAGTCTATAAGCAAATCGCGCCGCGTGTAGCGGCTCACGACACCAATTCTGTGTTAGTATCTTATTCTTCTTTTGTTTCCCGCAAAGTGCTATTGTCTGGCCACACCTCTTTTAGCGTGGTGTTGAAGTCTGGTCAGTGTTGCAAATTCACAGTCGTCACTTGGTTATAGCAAACGTCTTACTTTTTGTTGAGCTTTCAGAATATCTGCTTGGTCCATGGTTTGTCCGCCCTCCCAAGTAACCTTACCTGCAAACCATTTAGCTTGCTTATTTCCTTAACACAAATATGAAACTGATCTGTCATTTCCAACCGCTTTAGAGTCTCCAGTCACTGTCTTCTGATCCAGCTCTTCTCTATCTTCTTGGGCATACTCAGGGAGTCACTGAGAATGTATGCTCGTTAATGTATGCTCCAACCATGTTACTGTTTTGAACATGACCTCCCTATTCAGACTCCTTGTGGTCAACGCAACAATATCAAAATCTTGCTTAACAATTCTAACTCCTTCTGCAGTGCTTACTGACATTCGTGGCACAAAAATAGAGAAACATATCGCATATAATACAATGCTACATATATATATATATATATGTTTCTCCCTGATGTAGCCTTACCCAATCGTTTTTTTTTTAATGTCCAATTGCAGTGCCTGTTAAATAATTCTCTACTCATTTCTTCTCAGGATGTGTCCATTATAGCACCATTTTCTTTGTTTCATAATTGTCCCTACCGCTGGTTACCCAGACATTTCTATTAGTTCTTTATTCCATTAAATTCATCTCATTTTTATGGGGCGGGTGGCGGGGTGGCGGGTGGGGGGATGGGTTCATTTTCCTCACCCATTTCCCGTTGGAAGCATTTTTTAACCTTGCATGTTTTTTAGTGTGTGTGTGTGTGTGTGTGTGTGTGTGTGTGTGTGTGTGTGTGTGTGTGTCCATGTTGCAAGGGAATGACATACCTTCTTTAAAATAACTATACACTTGCAATGTTCAGGTACAAATCAAGATAGGCAAGGTGACACAGACAGACAGAGAGACAGACAGAGAAAAAGACAGACAGACAGACAGACAGACAGACAGACAGACAGACAGACAGACAGACAGACAGACAGACAGAGAGGCAAACACCCAACTAATGTACTTATTTTGTCAATTCAAACTGTGAGACTCACCAGGCGTTGCCCAGCTAAGTATGATGCCTTCCTTAGCATGTCTAACCAAATTGTCCAAGTAAATATCTTCATACTTTGCAGGTATGTGCTCCCCAACCTCCAGACTGATCACCCAGTCAAAGGCTGGTATGCCGTACTGGGGAGCTGTCAAGTCCAAGAACTTCACCTGAAGGAAATGGTTAAATCAGCAAAATATAAATAAAAATCTTATTCTGGTAGATAAATCCGGATGAGCTGCATATTAACTGATGATGAAAATAAATATAGACCTGTCTTTTTTTCCCCATAACTTCTTTGTCATGTATTTCATTTATAATTCACTATACAGTATTTATTCAATAAATCTTCTTCTTCCTTCTCTTTTTCTTCTTCCTCTTCCTTTTCTTTTTCTTCTTCTTTTTCTTCTTCTTCTTCTTCTTCTTCTTCTTCTTATTCTTCTTCTTCTTCTTCTTCTTCTTCTTCTTCTTCTTCTTCTTCTTCTTCTTCTTCTTCTTCTTCTTCTTCTTCTTCTTCTTCTTCTTCTTCTTCTTCTTCTTCTTCTTCTTCTTCTTCTTCTTCTTCTTCTTCTTCTTCTTCTTCTTCTTCTTCTTCTTCTTCTTCTTCTTCTTCTTCTTCTTCTTCTTCTTCTTCTTCTTCTTCTTCTTCTTCTTTTTCCTCTTCTTCTTCACTACCACTGTTACCACTTCGGATGTGGAAGGATAAATAAGCTTCTGCTTCCTGCTCTACTAGCCACCTGGACCATAACGAAGTCAAGCTGTTGTTGAGCATCTCTGATGTTTTTGGTCACTTTGTGCTCTACATCCTTTTCTTCCTGTGTAAGGTGTGTTGTCACAATGCACTCTCCAAGCGCTGAACTATTTGATTGGCTGTCTTTGTATGTAGTTTAGAATTGGTTCTTGTCGATTTTTTTCTCTTGTGATATTATTTCTGATTTGATCTCTTGCAGGTGACTCATGTAGCCATTTTCAAACATCTAATTTTTATGTTAATTTAATGACTTGTCGGTGACTATTTTTTGCACTGGTAGCGTGGAGTAGAATGAATATTTATCGATTTTAATGATTTATGAATTGACATCATAGTACACCGGGCATACCCATAGGTGTTCCGTCTCTCACAGCCATTGTCTTAAGGTGTTGATACCAACTGTTCCAATACCAAACTCTGTTATTTTCTTATTTGTCCCTTCTTCCTTGATTCATATGGAATTGATCGTTCACAAATTCTTACATCTTGTATTTCATCTAACCTCCTGTCTTCCCTCAGTGTTTGTTTACAAACGGTCTTCAGAATGTCTCCTTTGTCTAGAACCAGTTTTTCGGCAGCTATCGCTTCTGTAGAAAGAAAATCCGCTCTGTCATTTCCTCACAGGCCTGCATTTCCCAGACAGTATAACCATTTAAGTCCCTGTAATGTTGGCGTTCTGATTGCCGTTTGGCCACTCACGCTAAATTTGCACACTTTGAACTTTCAGCAATACCAACTGAAATGTCGCTGTCTATAAATTATCTGGTTACTCTATTTTCTGCTCTCCACTTCAAAGCTGCAGTGATTTGCTTAATCTCCACCCCCATGCTTGAAGCCGTAGATAAAACAGCACCATTTGCCACGATCTGCCTTCACTCAAGCTGAAATCTCCAGCCAGAACCTTGACTACGATGAACAGAATCATCGGTGTGCAATTGTGCATCAGTTAGATCAGCGTTTTAATCTGTTGAGTTGAGTTGAGCTGAGTCAAGAACTAATATCACAGCCCTCGGGGCATTCTCATGTGTGCTCCGTCCTCATCTTCAGCAGCCAGCGCAGAGTTCCAATTCTAATGGTACCGGTCGTAATCTGGTTATATGTTTGTCTTGCCTTTCCACTGAGTGTAGTAAGCCGGCCAACCCCACTGGTTACATCCAGTTGTCTCATTATCTCCAGGCTCTGTTGTTTGTTCCCAAAGGGCCTGACCACATCTGACCTGTCACGTATCAATTCACCACCTTTTGGTGCAGATCCAGCCAATCTGTCTGCCTGTTGCTCCCAACAACGCCAGAATGGTCTAAAGAAAATATTCAAAGTATGCTCACTACCCGTGACCTTCCTAGTGAAGCTTGCCACTATACTCAAAGCGTCCCTGTCTTCACCTTTCTCAGCATGCTTTCAGAGTCTGTTACATTTATGACATGTGTATGCATCTTGTTCTCTAGCCACCGGAAAGCTGCAGTTGCTTCCTCCACCTCCATTCTCACGTTAGACGTGGTATCTTATGCTAGGCTGTCTTGCACTGAAGATTTTTCATTGGCTATCGCTACGAACTCCCATGCACTTCTCTTCCCTCTCAACCCGGAACCATCTGTATAGATATTCAGATCATCTAGGCGAGAACTGTCGTGACTCACTTGCTGTACTTCTAACTCTGTAGTACCCGTGGGCTACTCTCTGCACTCCCGTCCCAATGCGATAGCTCTACACAGGTCAGACTTTTCCTCTGGCACTCTGACCAATTTTCTCTTCGCCCTATGATCTCCAGCATGCATACTTGTCTTATTGCGTCTTCTGTTTGAGCCATTCACGATTTTCCTCTGTTCAGCCTCTGACTCTTGCCTGCTGCCAAAGCTTCAAACAGAGGGTGTTCCCTGTATGTAGCTGCTCTGAGGTTTGACTTGTCTGCATCACATTTAGCCTGTCTGCAATATTCGGCAATGCAAGGATGTATTGCGTGAACACAATCGGGCTGTCTCTTGTACACCCTAGGATCACCCGCATAGCTTCATTCTGTGTGCGCTCCAGTTTCTCTAGCTGGCTTTTCAAGACAGTGAGTAACCCCAATTCATCATTGAGATGATTAGGTGCTGGGAAAGTGTGAACAATGTTCGATGCTCCATATTAATTGCTGCTATACTTGTTAGTGCAATAAGACCTTTTTAAGTCCTTGTCACAACCCTAAGGTGATCATTGAAAGACAAACTTCTGTCAAATGTGTTTCCTAGGTACCGCAGTCTGTTGTCTCTTTTGATTTCCCTGCCATTTATTTTGAGTCTGGGGACATCCGCAATAACAATCCTGTTGTCCAAGGACCACCATAGGACGGCTGCTTTTCTGGGTAATTACAGCACTCATCTTTGTACACCAGTCGAACACCTTATCTACTGTTGCATGTAAATCTTCAGCTATTTGATTCCGATCTTTCCCCTTCCTATATACGAGAACATCATCTGGAAATGTAAATATTCTGCCAACTCCAGGTGTTTGCAGGTCCGCAATCTTGCTCGTAAAAACATTGAACAGTACAGGTAAAACTGCAGATTCCTGTGGTAGTCCTGAAACTATAATATATGGTTCAGGGGTCCATGAACCCAGGCGGAGAGCTACCTGGCGAGTATACAAAACACATGCTATCTAGCTCACTAACCAAGGACCTTGTAAGCATCTTCCAAATCAAGAGATGTTTCCTGCCTGTTATTGAAACCTTTAAAGGCGTCAAAGGCAAAAGTGGCTGCATTTGACCATGTGTCCTTCCCTGGCCGGTAACTTGCCAAACCTCGTGGTGGAAGGAGATGTCTCTGTTCCAAAAATTCTTCTAGCTTACCCGCCACTATCTACTCCAGCACTTTACCAATGGTGTTTTCTAGGGTTATGATCCTGAGTTCGCTCCACATCTTTATAATTTCCAAGTGGTAGTTTTTGTTCTGTCTGTCTTCAGTTGTAGACAGTATTCATTTTTTTTTTCTGCTCACCATTTCACAACTTCTAATTCCACCATAATGGTCGCAAGAATGCTTTTACCTATCTTTTTTCTTGCTGGAAACGATTGGATGATGGTCACTTTCTTTCTCAACAAGAACATCCCAGTGCGCTGGCAATTATTCCACCCGAATCCCCAGGTCTCGTTGCTTATCTAGTAGATCCACCATCGTTTAATACAGTGATACTTGTGCTTAGTAGGGCCAGACTCAATGCCACTCCAAGTCTGTTTTCTATATGATTTCCTCGCTTTTACGACCATGAAGTAAAATCTCCAACTATTAGACATTTTCTGACAGATCTCTCCAAAATCGGGATCTTCCTTTCATGTAAGAGAAGAGGGGGAGGGTGGAGGGGGGCTGGATATTTGCCCCAATACTTGGTTTGCTTTGCTGAATCTAATGTGTGTTGTTTTTTTAATCGCCATTCCTCCTTTAGGTGAATTTTGTTCCCAGATATTTAAATTCGGGCTCCTGTTTATTTGCACTCTTCTGCTAAATTGAGGTTCTTCTTCCTGTCTTTTTCATGCTGATTCTCATTTGTCTCACATCCTTCATTTATAGATGTTAGATATTGTAATTCATGGCTGTATCTGCTATCAAGGCCTGGTCCACTGAAAAAAGTAATTCGTTGATCTTACTGATATTTTCGTTCCAGGTCTTTGTATCCTTGCATTTGTACTATATCTAGTTAAATAGTTTCTCGTATTATTATTTTGTTCTCCGATGTTGTCATTTGCTCTGTTGCAGACCATCTCAACAGAAATGTGCGACTCTATTTTAAACACCTTTCCCGTTGGGACTGCATTTTTGGGTATCGTTTTATATATTAAAGCATTTTGGTGACAAGGCAAATGGCTTAACCACTCTGCCATGGAGACCAACAAGTCTAATTTAGTTGATCTCAAGACTGGGTACAATACCATGTGTTCCTAAATTGCTAGGACTGCAACCTGGATGGTCCGATGTATCTCAGATATGCAATACAACAGAGCACTATTTGCTGGAGTCTAGAAAATATGAAAACCAAAGGAAACCATTAACTGACTACACGAATCTCTGTAAATTACCCATGGCAATGGAAAACTAGTTGCACATAATCAGCCCCAGAGAGCTGCATGGTATGTCAAGAACTTTATAACCAGAACTAAAATCTATATATAGAATGGCAAAGAATACCCGTGCCATGTTTGGAGAGGTTTTCTTCAAATATCAAAACAGATCAAAATAATCAACTATTGCACTAAGGGAATAATAAATCCAACATGTTAATGACACGGTGATAGTAAGTTTGTTTAATTATTCATAGTATAGTGTCTAACAAAATCATAACCCAAATCATAGCAATATGAGAAACAATACAAACTACATATCGATCATCTAAAATAATTGCGTGATATAAAAATGTGAAATAACAAAAATATAATCTGAGGACTCAATAAACACTGTATATACCAGTTATAACCCTGAAGGTTAAACAAGTTGTTTTTGAAAAACTAAAACTACTGTTCAAGGCTGGGTTATATTGCTATTAGAAAGATAGTATATCAAAAGCTGGGCAATGTCACTTTAAATCAATGTGTACACCTGAAGTGGCTCGCGGATTACGCATACGGTTTGTAATTTGGAAATATACAGTTAGATTTAACTGCAGGCAGTTTGGCAGCAGACCACGTGCGCTGATTTCTACGATGGTTTGGAAAGCCGACAATTGGGAAGCAATGGCGAACTTCTAAATGTAATAACTATCTAATCAAACCACAAGCATCCAACCCATAACGGAGCTGATTTACAACGCCCTGTGAGGGATTGGAAAAAACGTATTGTGTATGTAACTGGAACAAAACATTTTGAAAGAAAAATCTACTTTTGAGGAGATTGGGTTTTCCCAAATGTGTTTCTCGCGAATCTGGCTTGCGATTAAGCTTAGGAAACATAATTTGCTAGACAAATATTTCGGTGCTTTATTATTATCCTACCCCAAACAGGGGAAATCCACAGATCACGACTGCATGCAGTCGTGGGACCTTGACTTCACGCAGTAATGGAACCAAGGCTGCACTCTCTCGTGGGAGGTAGGTGGGTTGGGGTTAGGGCCAGTTCTAAATGTTTTGGGGTCGTTAAAAGCATCAGAAAGCCGGGAAACCCATCTTACAACAAACTAATATGTTGGACTGTCCTGTGACGACATTTGGGGTAGGATATTAATAAAGCAGCAATATTTCTACTGAAACCAACACAAAGTTCTACTTGGCGTTCATCTGTGGTGTAAACTCTGACGACAGTTTTGGTTTTTCATACTCTTTTGGTCTTGTTCCGGAACTTGAGTTCTGTGTGCACAGCAGTGTTACTAATCTGTCGTATTTGAATGCAGACTGTTAAATCCTCACCTATCATGCAGATGCTCATAGGATCAATTGAGTGAATGTGCGTGCACGTATTTTAAAACAGATTGGCTAAGTATAAACTTAAACCTACCAAGCCCCGTGTGACGTTTTCAACGTGTGGCGCTCCATCATAAGCTGTATAACTGACTACCTCAGCCAAAGAATCGATATGTGACTTGTACTTCCCTGGTCCATCACCGAAACTGCCCACTGTTTTACCTTTGGAAAACTTGCTCAGAGCTGTTGAGAGGCCCTGCGTACATGATTGTCATAAATTTAACCAAGGATTGAGTTATGACAAAAGTGCAGTTTATTTCTTAAGTACCTTAACAAAAGTGCAGTATATTTCTAAAGTTCCCTAACAAAATTTCAGTATATTTTTAAAGTTCCCTAACAAAAGTGCAGTATATTTCTAAAGTTCCCTTACAAAAGTGCAATATGTTTCTAAAGTTCCCTAACAAAAGTGCAGTATATTTCTAAAGTTCCCTTACAAAAGTGCAATATGTTTCTAAAGCTCCCTAACAAAAGTGCAGTATATTTCTAAAGTTCCCTTACAAAAGTGCAATATGTTTCTAATGCTCCCTAACAAAAGTGCAGTATATTTCTAAAGTTCCCACTTTTCGAAAATCTGACCCTAATTCATAACGCTTCGTAGCTTCAGCGTCGTTGTTATGCCTTATCAGGTCTCATACTTGCTCTGTTTACCTCGATTATGAGATGTGCCTGTTTTACCGACAAAAATATGCGGTTTTTATATTCTCGAAATATGCTTTACAGTTTGCTGCGCATTGTGTTGGAAACTAATAAGTTTGCAAAGGTTGGATTTAAATTTAAAATTTTCACGTTGCAGAAATTTTGTCGCTGTCTGGTAATATAGGATTAGGAATTTTACCCCTAAATACAGTGAAACCTCGCTTAACGAGCATAATTCGTTCCAGACCCATACTCCTTAAGCGAAACACTCGTTATGCGAAACAATTTTTCCCATATAAATTAATGGAAAATACGATAATGCGTTCCATGTCGAAAAAGATGTTCACAAAATGTTATGTATAACGTTTATTCAAAGAAAATTAGATACATATTGTTAAGGAGAGTGAATAATCTTCATCTTTTCTTCAAACACGGAACGACCCACCTAGAATGCGAAGTCGATTTGCAGAAAAACTTTTAAACTAAACAAACTGTGCGGATGCTTTCATTTTACAGCCTTCTGTGTGTTTGGGTTTTTTTTAGGAAAGAAAAACATTTTGATGGTTAGTTTCCATTTCAATGACCGTATTGTTCGTGTGGTCTCGCTTGTGCTGCCCAACTATTTTTGTAGCTTCTTCACATTACGTTCTATATTTTTCTTCATTTCACTTGTTGCTAGATTCATTTGGGAACATCTCTATAGCATTTTTTTTTCTTACTGACTGCTTTTTTACATTTTTTATCGAAACATTTGCTCTTTTTTTTTAAAACCAAGTGCTGCTTATCTGTAGTCCTTTGACGACTGCAAAGTTGATTAATCTCAATCCATTATTTGAATATACGCTTTCCATGCCTGACACATTTTCATAGGTGTTTTCTCTTCCTATTTTTAAATGGAAATCTCCTAAGACAATCAGTGTGTCTCGTTTATTGAGTTTCCTCTATGATGCTCGCAAGGAGATTATATAAATCTTCTTTAATATTATCTTCTTTATAGGGTGCATGCATATTAATCATCAGGATATTTTTTATTGTTCTTTTATTCGTAACTCACTGGTACTATCGTTAACTGCTTCCAAATATATTATACTTTCCTACAACTTTGCCTTAATGACAAATCCTGTCTCTAGTTCATGTTTGCTTTCAGCGTTTTCTCTGAACAATGTGATCATTTCATTTTCCTCTGTGGTACCTTGTCCTTGCAATCTTATCTTTAGAATCGCTGTTATATCCATTCTGTAATCTGAAAATTCAAGGGTCAGTTTTTCAGTGACTCCAGCCCTATAAGGCGTTCGTACATTCCAGGTTCTAAATCTCAAAAGTCCTTTAACGTTCTTTTTTCGTTGTCTGTTTAAATCCATCCAAAATCAAGGTTTAAAAATCTGTTCAGTGACGAAATGAAGATTTACGAAGGTGGGGGTATCAGCTCCACGCTGTTCAGTGACAAAATGAAGATTTACGAAGGTGGGTGTATCAGCTCCACGCTGTTCAGTGACGAAATGAAGATTTACGAAGGTGGGGGGTATCAGCTCCACGCTGTTCAGTGACGAAATGAAGATTTACGAAGGTGGGGGTATCAGCTCCACGCTTCAACACCCAACCTGGAGGACAACGGTGTCTCTCTTTGTTCTCTACTCTTTGACCTTTCCGGTTTGGGAGACCCTGCTGCTACCACCGGCTACCACCGGGGTAGCTCTCAGACACCAGTGCCCTCCCCACAACCACAACAAGATGGGTACACCTTCAGGGGAGATGTAGATACACTAGCAGTAATTTCCTTATACAGGAGAGTTTCAGCGATTAGTGACCTTTGTAGTGGCGTATATACAGATAATTCATGAAATATTATTTTCTGATATTATTTGCTGATTCGTTGCTCTTTGAGCCAGGCTGTAGACTGTTAGTGTAACAATTGTACTTATAAAGAATCTAACACTCAGTACCTTATCCCAGACATGGTCAGTGCTGTTGGGAGAGCTAGATTCCGAACACCAACCTCCACTCTCAGAGACTCGAACATCTACCTACACAAAAGGAATAAACAATCAACTTCTGTTTAAACAACGATTTTTCAACATCTTTTGTCCAGGTGCGGCATCCGGTATTAGGCTCTGCGAGTCCGACTCGTAATTCCAACGTACCGCGATCAAAACCCACTGCTGGCTGCGTGGATTTTTATCATGGTATGGGGCGTCGGAGGTCGACCCAGCCACAAATGGGCTCCGGGATGGCTGTCCTGGGGAAGTAAAGAGTATCGGCATAATGCTAACCACATTACCTAAAGAGTGCCTATTGGTCTGTAAAAATATGGGTGCTCTTTCCATAAGCCCGATGCGCCTAAAGGCGTGAAAAGGGATCTTTACTGTTCTTTTTTTTTTTTTTTTAACTAGTCCAGGTGGCTCATAAACAGCATTTTATCCAGAAAACAGGTAGTTTGTTAAACGCCACAGTGGCCTGGAGGAAACTGAGGTAGTTTGTTAGACGCCACAGTGGCCTGGAGGAAACTGAGGTAGTTTGTTAAACGCCACAGTGGCCTGGAGGAAACTGGGGTAGTTTGTTAGACGCCACAGTGGCCTGGAGAAAACTGGGGTAGTTTGTTAAACGCCACAGTGGCCTGGAGAAAACTGAGGTAGTTTGTTAAACGCCACAGTGGCCTGGAGAAAACTGGGGTAGTTTGTTAGACGCCACAGTGGCCTGGAGAAAACTGGGGTAGTTTGTTAAACGCCACAGTGGCCTGGAGAAAACTGAGGTAGTTTGTTAGACGCCACAGTGGCCTGGAGAAAACTGAGGTAGTTTGTTAGACGCCACAGTGGCCTGGAGAAAACTGAGAAGGAGGGCACAGGTTCCAAAAAGACGAGACAGAGACAGACTTGGCACAGGTGGATACAAGACACTGAGGACGCATTAGCTGTGAAAGCACATAGGGCTGGAGGATTGGCTAGATAAAGAGAAACTGTCAAGTGTGCCGAAACGAGAGCAACACTCTGCAAAAGGCCTGCTGATTGCTGATTTCTTTTCCTATGATTTCTGGTGCTTAAGGACAGAATACTGCTAGGTCATCTGTTAACTAAACCTCCCGCACGACTCTCTGTACATTAATCCTCCAACACCTTCACTATGTCATCTGTTAGCTTAACCTCCCGCACGACTCTGTACATTAATCCTCCACCACCTTCACTATGTCATCTGTTAGCTTAACCTCCCTCACGACTCTCTGTACATTAGTCCTCCACCACTTTCACTATGTCATCTGTTAACTAAACCTCCCGCACGACTCTCTGTACATTAATCCTCCACCACCTTCACTATGTCATCTGTTAACTAAACTTCCCACATGACTCTCTGTACATTTATCCTCCAACGCCTTCACTATGTCATCTGTTAGCTTAACCTCCCGCACGACTCTGTACATTAGTCCTCCACCACCTTCACTATGTCATCTGTTAACTAAACCTCCGACACGACTCTCTGTACATTAATCCTCTAACACCTTCACTGGGTCATCTGTTAACTAAACCTCCGACACGACTCTCTGTACATTAATCCTCTAACACCTTCACTGGGTCATCTGTTAACTAAACCTCCCGCACGACTCTCTGTACATTAATCCTCTAACACCTTCACTGGGTCATCTGTTAACTAAACCTCCGACACGACTCTCTGTACATTAATCCTCTAACACCTTCACTGGGTCATCTGTTAACTAAACCTCCCGCACGACTCTCTGTACATTAGTCCTCCACCACCTTCACTATGTCATCTGTTACCTAAACCTCCCGCACGACTCTCTGTACATTAGTCCTCCACCACCTTCACTATGTCATCTGTTACCTAAACCTCCGACACGACTCTCTGTACATTAATCCTCCACCACCTTCACTATGTCATCTGTTAACTAAACTTCCCACATGACTCTCTGTACATTTATCCTCCACCACCTTCACTATGTCATCTGTTACCTAAACCTCCGACACGACTCTCTGTACATTAGTCCTCCACCACCTTCACTAGGTCATCTGTTAACTAAACCTCCCGCACGACTCTCTGTACATTAATCCTAAAATATCTTCAATGTTTTATTTTAGTTTGATTTCATAATGGTGTCTGTCAATGTTCTTATAATTTCTGATTTCCATTTTTCTCTTCCCCACCCCGCCACCATCCGTCTATCCATCGCTCTCTCTCCCCCTTTGTATGTATGTGGATGTGTGTGTATTGAGTGCCTATGTGTGTGTGTGTGAGGAGGTGAGTGAATGGGTTTGCCTGTGTATGTGGGTATGTGTGTTCGCGCGCCAGCGTGCCCACATATTTTACAACCCATGCTTTTGTTTTTAACTCGATGTTCATAATACAGTGGAACCTCGCTTAACGAGCATAACTCGTTCTAGAATCATACTCATTAAGCGAAACACTCGTTATGCGAAACAAATTTTCTCATATAAACTAATGTAAAATACGATAATGCGTTCCATGTCGAAAAAATTACTCACAAAATGCTATGTTTAACGTTTATTCAAAGAAAATTATGTACATATTGTTAAGGAGAGTAAATCTTCTTACTCTTTTCTTCAAACGCGGAACGAACCCACATGGGATGGGAATTCGATTTGCAAAAGAAAAAAAAAAGTTGAAATAATTATGATACATAGCTAATTATTTTTATTTTTACTAGAAAGATGTCCAGAGACATGTGTTTTTGCCAACGCTTCAAAATTTGGCGACATTTAGACACAGCATTATCATTAAATAAATTGACAACGCGCCTCTCCACTTCCTTATGAGGGTGATGCTTCTCAGTGCAAGATGCAACAGTTTGCTATGCATTCGGCATTTCTCTTTTTTCGCCAGAAGATTGTTGCTTTTCTGTTACCTCCTCCTCTGAGAAACTTTCCTCCAAAACTACTTGCTGTAAAACACAATGCAACTTCATAAGTTCATGGGTGGTCAGCTCTTGGCTGTGCTCTTCCACAAGCTCTTCGATATCACTGTATCCACCTACAATCCTATGATAGTGGCCAAAGACGAAATTTCGTTGACTACAGGTTCCACAGGTACTGTCTCGAACCCTTCAAAGTCACAGATCGACAACGCTCTGCGGCCAAAGCTTCTTCCAAGCAGAAGTTAGGGTTCTCTTGGTAACCCCTTGCCCCGCCTTGTCGATCATCTTGAGGCAGGCAACGATGTGGAAGTGATTTTTCCAAAACTCTTTGAGAGTGAGGTTGGTCTCTTCAGTCCAGTCACCTGAAAACAATGCTCGAAGAGTGGTTTAGTGTAGAGCTTCTTGAAGTTAGAAATAACTTGCTGGTCCATGGGCTGGAGTAACGGAGTGGTGTCGGGAGGCAGAAACTGGATCTTGATCAACTTAAATTCTTCAGAGAGGTCATCTTGTAGTCCTGGAGGATTCATGTACATATATAACAATATAACACAAGTTTGAGAAAATGTGTGATCACAAGTGACACTACGATTCTACTGGAATGAGTGCTAAACATAGAATGATGTAACATGCGCACAATCCGGGACTTCTTCTCTCCTCGCCACTCGTTTTGCGAAACATCGTTAAGCGAGTCATTTTTTTACAATTTGTTTTGCTCGTTATGCGAGTTACTCGTTGTGAGAGGTGCTCGTTAAGCGAGGTTCTACTGTATGCATATTATTAGATGAACATAACATGCTTTATTGATGAAATACACCTACTGTGTGAAAGATGGGAGTTTGGACACGCGGAATGAAAGACAGGCCTTCGTGTCTAATTTGTGATTCTTTGAAATAAAAGTTCGTTTCGTTTCGTTTCTCTCCCTGTCTCCTCCCTGTCTCTCTCCCTCTCTTTCTCTCTCCTCCCCCCCCCCCCCCCCTCTATCTTTCTCTCACTCTCTCTATTAGTTATCCCTCTGCTGAAAGTCTCTAAGGACATATATATTCTTCCCTCCGTATTTCCACCAAATGTTAGCGATATTATTCTGTATAGATTTCTAGGGTCTCAATGTGAGTGTAAACTTGTTGGCTTATACATTATGAACCACACAATAATGAGTAAGAAGTCAAATAATTAACGTCTCATACATTATAGACCATACATTCGTGAGTCAGATGTTAAACAAATAATGTCTCATACAATAGATGTCATCTAAAAGGTACATTAAAGAAACACTATCTGTGTTAATGTGTGCGCGCGTGTTTGTGTGTGTGTGTGTGTGTGTGTGTGTGTGTGTGTGTCTAATAGCAGAATTTTTACATCTGAAATTTATGTGTTATTTATATGGTGATTTGTCCAATCCAAGTCTGATCATTTTTTTTTTCTCCTTCTGGTTGGAGGGAGCGAAAGCGGGTTGCGGGGGGAGGGGAGTGAGGGGTAGGGAGGAGTGTCTCCGTTATCGAAGTGGTCAAGCCAGTTGTCTTATGCCCTGTAGCAAGCAGTTTTGTTTCATAGATTACGAAGCTCGGTTCATAGGTGAATATTTTGGTTCCTTAAAGATTCTTGCCACAGGACTTTCAGCAAGTGGTCTTGGGTTCTGCAGACAGACCGGGCTATATGGAGTAAACATCAGTGCAAAACAGAGGATCGTCTCAAAGCTAAACGTTTAAACTTCTTTTCAGGCTGAGGGACGGATGTCCTATCTAAGACTGATATTTTATCTTTCTATGTGCTGACTGTCCAATCTAAGACTGATATTTTATGTGTGTGACAACTGTCCAATCTATGACTGCTATTTTATGTGTGTGACAACTGTCCAATCTAAGACTGATATTTTATGTGTGTGACAACTGTCCAATCTAAGACTGATATTTTACGTGTGTGACGATTGTCCAATCTAAGACTGATATTTTATGTGTGTGACAACTGTCCAATCTAAGACTGATATTTTATGTGTGTGACAACTGCCCAATGTCAGACTGACATTTTATGTGTGTGACGACTGTCCAATCTAAGACTGATATTTTATGTGTTTGACGACTGTCTAATATGACTGATATTTTATGTGTTTGACGACTGTCTAATATGACTGTCAAATCTCATACTGACATTTTGTCTATCTATGTGCTGACTGTCCAGTCTAAGACTGATACGTTTTCATGGGATGACTGTCCAATCTAAAATTGATATTTTATCTATCTATTTTGATTTTTAGGGCTGATATTTTATCTATCCATTTATTTATTTATTTTTATTTGTAGGGCTGCCCAGAAATATTGTGAGATACAGAAAGGTCTCCTTTAAAAAAAAAAAAAAAAAACATAGTAAGCTGCTTCTGCCAGTTTCTGTATCCACAAATTCTAACATCTTCTGGTAGAAGATTCCACTGTTGCAATCTGGAGCCCCAAAAGCTCGGCTTCGTTCTTCGGTAAATTTAAATCTCCACATGAATTTTCAGTTTACTTTGGGTTATTAATTGTGGTTTAGCGGACGTAGTTTGCTCAAAATCCGGTTCGCTTGAGGTTAGGTTGGTGGTTCAAAGCCACCAATGTCCTTGTCTTCGTCAGTGGAATCAGTTGAGAATAATTATGGCACTTTGAGTACAGGTAGGTCATCGCCATGTGGTACCGGACGTATTGCAGAGGAAATTTTTTGGATACTTCAGAGTCCATTTCTTCTTCTTTGATATGCCTTTCATGAAGATGATGATTGACAGAGGGCTATCATAAATGCTTTAACGTGGAGGCTCAGGCACATTGAGAGCTCCCTCCCCCAACTCTTTTTTTTCAGACTTACACACACACACACACACACACACACACACACACAGAACATTTATAAGGGACCAAGGCACCCCCCCCCCTCCCCACCTCCCCAAACCCAAATGTTTTTCATGTGTTGTGGCACCCCTGGGTTTAATGTCTTCTCTGATATTCGTCGTGTACGTAAAGTCTTCCATACACTCAATACTGGTAATATAAAAGTTATTCTATAAAAATTAAATGGCAACAATGAGATTCTTGAGAGAATTATTCGACATATCGAGAAAAGAAAAGATAAAAATGTATTAATTTCTATAGCTAGTGAGGGTTTGTCATTAGAAATTTTTTTGTAGAGACAAATGTTTACAATTTCTGGGGCACAAAGAAATATTCTAGAAGTTTTGACAATGGCTTGTTCCGAAAGACAGCTTACATCAAAATTTAGAAAAAAAAGGTACTCATGCATTTTCCCAACATTATTAAAAAAGAGAGAGAGAAAACCTCTGCTATGCTGGGACGGTTGGGCATATTTATTGAAAGAGAGATGGAGAAAATTAGAGAAAGAAGACCTCCTTTTGACATGGCATAGAAGGGTGTCAACACACGAACTGACACCGGGCTTGTTCTGGAAATACAAGGATATGCAGTGTTAACATTTGAATCTTGTTTAGCTAAATAACAATCTTTTATCAAGTATATTGTATAAAATAAAAACGGTAAACACACATATTCTTTCTAGAACTAGGCTCTTGCAACACACACACACACACACACACAGACACACAGACACACACACACACACACACCACATACACACAAGCCACACACACACACACACACACGCTAGATTAAATTTCCCGGCTTCGACCTGGATAATTAAATATAACTGTATTCTCCAGTCATCCATTTAATCTTTGTCTCCACCGCTGCCGTGTGGTTTGGTTATTCGCCCCCCCCCCCCCTTTTTTCCCTTATATCTGACCGACTAACTGACGCACGCAATACAAGTAACGGTCCATTTTACACATTTGGATAGTAATTTTGATAATTTATGAATCGCACTGGCAAAGCAACAATGATCTTTAAAAGCATTTACAAAATATAGAGCTCCAAGTTATTCAGCTTTAAGCTTGATATGGCCAAAATATTTCAGTTTCCGATACAAGATGCTGCTTATATACCAATCTGCCTTGATGTTAAGATCTTTGAAAAAAATTACAGTATTTCTTTTCTTCTTTGTCCGTGGTATTCTGAGAATATTTCTAGGGGATTTCTGGTCAAAAGTACCTTTTTTCTTTCCTAATGACTGTGAAATAGTCGACAAGTCACATCCATATACAGGGAAGATGCATGCTTTAACATTTTTTTAAAATTACTTTTCCGGTGCTTAACCAAAAACGTTTAATGCCGTTTAGTTTTCATGATAAGTTTCTTGGAATAGAGTTGTGGTAGTTTCCCCTTGATTTACACATCTACATGGCTTTCGATCATTTCCACAGGCTTAAGCAAATTTGTAGATTGCCAAGGGCAAATGTGTGCCCTGCTCTACGATGCTCCTGCTACCAATACCTGTACCGACTGAAACAAGAGACAAAGAAGGTGGAGACATACTGGGCCCACTCTGAGATACGAAGTGAGCAAAGAATTACAAAACAAGCTCTAAAATTGGAAACAAGCGGTTTGAGAAAAAGAGGACACATCACGAAGAACATTATTTTGAGAAGATAAAATCGCTGGACCGAACTCCGTGTCAGAAATAGAGAGCTTTGCATGAAATACAGCGGAGTGGAGGAATCGAATGCGAGCTTTATGTGAATTCTAACGGAGAACGAAGGATGACGGTGGTAACACACACACACACACACACACACACACACACACACACACACACACGCACACATACACACACACACAAACACATACAATCATACATGCACACATATAAAATGTGAAACACTCGTGACAATATTCCGAGAATAATTATGCGTGTGTATGTGTATATCATCATCATCATGTGCCCTGCTAACTGGCGTAGGTGCTCATGGGTCTCCACAGATCACGATAGCTGGTTGCCTAGAACAGCTCTCTTGATGATATCCCTCCATGCCATCGTTTCAGCCTATCCAGCATCATCTCTCTTGCTCTGCATCTACCCAAATATATATATATATACTCATATATCCGTGCTTTATATCGTTAAACATTCTAATCGCAGTATTTGTTAATAATCTACATGATCAATTGCTTTAGAAAATGATAGCAGCCTTACCGATTTTCCGGCTAATTTGATAAGTTTCAACTGTTCACAACTTTGTTGTCCGTAAGCTTGCTTCATTAAGTTGAGTTGCCTTGATAAAACATCTCTTTGTTGCTTGTATCTGACGGAATCTTTGAGTTGTTGGGGATGAGGGACGCTATCATCCGAAAAGAAACATAATTGTAAAGTGGAATTTTTCAACAGATGTTGGATAGTAGCAATATGGTACTTCCCAAGACTGCAGCTAGTACCCACTCACGGCTTGGTCGACCTGGGAGTCAAGGTCATTAAAAAAAAAAGTCCTGATCCGTCAGGACGCGAATCCACGACTTCCGATCCGCAGGCGGGCGTCTTGCCGAAAACATAACGGCCACTCCCAATATTGAGGTAGACATTAATACACTTAATCCACAGCCTATAATTTAACACGCACAGGAAAGGTTGCTGCTAATATTGAGAGAGAGAGAGAGAGAGAGAGAGAGAGAGAGAGAGAGAGAGAGAGAGAGAGAGAGAAGTGACACAGAGGAACTGACAGATAGACAGGCGGACAGGAAAACAAACAGAGTGAGATAAAGTAATATATATAATCATTGACGAGGTCTGTCAACGAGTTTGTGAAATAATCAGATGGTTTTGGTATTTAGTCGAAAATCCTGAAATAACGTGTAGCGAGAGTATATTACATAAAAGCATTAGGATACGGTCTTTGTTGTTCAAATATGTTATAAGACTGAATAGACTCGAGAACTTGCTAACGAATTGGTGGACGCAAGAACACTGACGTGATCCGCGATTCTGGTATAGTGTCAGATAAAGAAATATGAAAGCCTACGTTTAGTCTATATTATTTTCATAGCATTATACTGTTTTTCCCGGTGTCGGTTCTGGGGCGTGAGTGGTGGGTGGTGGAAAGGAGGGAGGGGGGGGGGGTACAAGAATTGAACCCCTTCCTACCCAAAAGCATGTCGTAAGTCGACTAATTAAAAGCCTTCTTCGAAGTTAGAATGCATCCGCCTGAGAGGCAAGAACCCAACAGTCTTCATACAAACGAGTAAGATCTGTAAAACCGATGTGCACGCAACACTCAGATTCTGGATTCTTCTTCTTCTTTCTTTCTTTCTTTCTTTTTCTTGTTTCTTCTTCTTCTTCTTTCTTTCTTTCTTTCTTCCTTCCTTTCTTTCCTTCTTCCTTTCTTATTTCTTTTTCTTGTTTTTCTTCTTCTGTTTCTTCTTCTTCTTCTTTTTCTTGTTTTCTTCTTCTTCTTCTTCTGCTTCTTTTACTTCATCTTCTTCGTCTTTAGCATTCCTATCCCTTCAGGTTCGCCCGCCACCTTGCAACTCTCTTGTTGGCCTTATCTTTCCATTTGGTGTAGGTCGGTTCGGATATTATCTCTCCATCGTCTTCTTGGTCTGCCTCGTGGTTTACGACCATTTGGCTCCCTAATGTATACAGTTTTTACCTCTCTGTCGTCTGACATTCTCTCAAAATGCCCCCGCCATTTTAGCCTATTAGCTTTCATGACCATAGTCAACAATGGTGATTTAAATAGATCATAACTTCGTTGTTGCTTCTTATTTTATGTTCCCTGCTGTTTGCATCTTTGATGGGTGCAAAGATTCGTCATAATTTAAATTATTTTTAATAAGCCTTCATCTCTTTTAGTTGTGCTCCGAATTTCAGAGCCATATACAACAACTGAAGTGGCGGCCTGTTGTTGGTCTTTTTTTTTTTTTTACCAATATATCTCTGGGGCTCCGTCTGAAAAAAAAAAAAACTACATAATTTTGAAATTTGTCTGCGAAGAGAAGGCGGTAACAAACCAAACTGGCCACCCTGTTTTATTTGTCGTGGCCTAGAAAATGTAGAGGCCTTCAGCAGTCTTTGCTGTGTGACCGACTCTAACTTTAAAAGGCATTAACCACTATGCACTAAATATACAATGAGTATATCAAGTGTTGTGTCCCCTGCTCGTTACGTCACTGATATACTCTAACAAAATTGTTTTGTAAGTTTACTGAATGCGCTTCTTTTTAAATACACTCCCGGGGGTAGGCAGGAAAGCCACATTTTCTCCCAGATTTACATAAAAATTCGCATTAAAAAGACCACAAAGCCAAAAGATACTGGGGTTGGTCGTGCAATATCCTGTAAAGGAGACGCAACTAATTTAACAGGCAAAAATGTAGGTTAACGGGCTCGTACCTGTATGTTCAGAAACTGATTCAATGATCTACGACTAAGAAACATAATGAGGGTAAGAGAAAATAAGGGAGCCGGGGGGGTGGGGGTGGGAGGGGAAGGCCTCTTCAACCATGTGGCTAGGACACTTCCTCTTGGTATTGTCGTTTTTGTCGATAAAACCTGTTGCCAAAACGTCCGATTGTTTGTTTGTTTGAATGTTTTTCTCCTTCCCACCTTTCATAACATCCTTAGTCACAGTTTCAGTGGCTTCACTTCTTGATACTAGTTTAACTCTAGTGTCACGATACTAGTTTGACTGTAGTGTCACCCCTGTTGTTGTTGCTGGTTTTTTTTTTTTTTTTTTTTTTGGGGGGGGGGGGGGGGGGTTGGTTGTGTGTGGGTTAAATCATGTTATGTCATGTATGTGTGTATATGTCTGTAAATATGAATGTTATTTGTGCATGCATATGTGTATGTATTATGTACGTACGCACGCACATTCGAGGGGGCTTTTAAAAAAAACTAAAAGTGTGACAGAAATGACAAAAACCAGGTATTTTGTCTTGTAACCTGTCAAAGATTGTATTTAAGCTTGTTAATCACATGATACAATTGCTCAACGGACACGATGACGTCATATGATAGTAAGTGCGTGTGGGTGTGTGTAAATATATATATATATATGTGTGTGTGTGTGTGTGTGTGTGTGTGTGTGTGTGTGTGTGTGTGTGTGTGTGTAAAATCATGTCAGTAAAAAACAGTTAGATCGAAACTTGGTAGAGTGATCAGTTTATATGTATGGACAGTACAAATTTAACACTCACTAAGTAACGCCTGACAGGGCACCCATCTGCCTAATATACTGCATCCCGAGTAAGTAAGTCACTGTGATGATGGTTGCAAAGACTATCAGCCAAATGAATTTCTGAAAATAAAACATCAAACAAAAATGGGACTGAATCGCTTTTAGAGAAAACAAACAGAGAATGTGGCTTTCAGAGCCGAGCAATTTCACATTATTCTACAAACGCCTTGTGCGTTCTACAGCAGATATTTAGTGTGAGGTTAAACATTCTTTAGCAGATATTTAGTGGGAGGTTAAACATTCTTTAGCAGATATTTAGTGGGAGGTTAAACATTCTTTAGCAGATATTTAGTGGGAGGTTAAACATTCTTTAGCAGATATTTAGTGGGAGGTTAAACATTCTTTAGCAGATATTTAGTGGGAGGTTAAACATTCTTTAGCAGATATTTAGTGTGAGGTTAAACATTCTTTAGCAGATATTTAGTGTGAGGTTAAACATTCTTCAGCAGATATTTAGTGGGAGGTTAAACATTCTTCAGCAGATATTGAGTGTGAGGTTAAACATTCTACAGCAGATATTTAGTGTGAGGTTAAACATTCTTTAGCAGATATTTAGTGTGAGGTTAAACATTCTTTAGCAGATATTTAGTGGGAGGTTAAACATTCTTTAGCAGATATTTAGTCGGAGGTTAAACATTCTTTAGCAGATATTTAGTGGGAGGTTAAACATTCTTTAGCAGATATTTAGTGTGAGGTTAAACATTCTTTAGCAGATATTTAGTGTGAGGTTAAACATTCTTCAGCAGATATTTAGTGGGAGGTTAAACATTCTTCAGCAGATATTTAGTGTGAGGTTAAACATTAAAATAGACTGAAGTTGGACGAAGGAAATATTTTGAGAACCTAAAATTCATTTCACGTTTTAGAAATATGTTAGACGAGGGAGTGGACTTCTGGCGTGCGAGGGGAAAACGTCGCTTCAAATGGAGTCTGTGCTAAGATACACCTCAGCTAGGTGCCACACCTGGAAATCTTAGGGTTGGGGGGAAGGGGTTGGGGGATTAATGGGGGGGTGGGGGGTGGTTTTGAAAATTTTCTATTCAGTGGAAATTCAAATTCAAATTCTCTTTCGTTGACCACTTTCAGCTAGGTCCGCTCACATTTCTGCTCACTTTCCTTTCAGCTATATTTGTGGTGACGTTTTCTGGTCTCGATCTCATTTGGTTTTGGATTGTGTTCAATATTGTCGCTTTCTATTTGTTGTGGTTTCCGCTCTTGCTGTTGCTTTTGTAATTTGCCTGGCCCTGTGCTGCGCTCAAGATGATTGGGTGTTGAATCAATTTATTGTGGTATTCCTTGGCTGTTTGTTGTTTCCGGGGAAAGTAAATTGCCTATCCTAAGAAGGACCGGCGGTCGATTGACTTGGGCAGGTACTGATGGCAATACTGGTGAGGTCTGGTATTATTTGGTGATTTTCTCGTATCCTTGTTGTAAAGTACTACTCCTACATAGGGTTTCGGTAATTTTGGCCTTGGTTGTGTCGTATCTGGTATTAGTGTTTGAGGTAACGGTGTCGACCTCGTTTAACTTCAGGTTTTGGCTGTCGATATGGTTCCTCTGGTGATGACCAAAGAACATCATCATCTTGCAGTTCTGAGTTAAAGAAGTTCGGGTCCTCCAGCTCCCTGATGCGTTGGTTTATTTGGTTAGTAGTTTCTACCGGAAACTGTTTCATCAGCGGCGTTGGAGTTTTCTTATCTGGTGTTTGATGTGGCTTTTTCTGGGTCTCGGCTTCCTGTATTTGCTGCCTTCTTGTTGCCTCTTTCCGTGCTTTCTCTCTTTCTTCCATCACTCTGTTGGTTGCTTGCAGTTCCTTATTAAGTCTGTTGTTTTCTTCGTATGCTCTTCGTAACTTTTCCTCTGTTTCAGCTAGTGCCTTCTTGATCATTGCGACTTCTTTCGCGAAAAATTGTTGGTTATCCCGCAGATCATTGATGCCCGCCTCGTCTTCCCTTGCTTTAGTTGGTTGTTCCTTTTGTATCTGGATAGTGGCCAGTGCATTCATGATGTCCTCCTTGAATTTCGTCATCTCTGCTGTCATCAGTTTCTGGGTGTCAAGAGTCGCCTGCATTATAGCTCTCAGGCCTGTTATTTCATCTCTGTCTTCATCTCGTTGGGATTTGGATGCTTCTTTCTCGTTTCTGAGAGCTTGGATGTCACTTTTGAGTTGAGCCACCTCGTTGCTCAATTTGGTGGTAATGGCTGCAGTTATGCCTTGGGTTGCTTCGTGTCTTCTGCGGGCCTCATGGTATGGAATCTTTTCCCGTATGGCCGTGGTTGCTATTTCTCTGCATTGTTGCAGATAAGGGCACCCCAGGTATCTGGAGCTGTGCTGGCCGTAGCAGTTTGCGCACTTCCTGTTCAGATTGGGAGACCTAAAGTTTGTGTCCAGCTTTGCCAGCGGGCAATTGTTGAAGGCATGGGGTTGTGAACAGTATCGGCATACTTCATGTTCGCTCACACAAGTGGCCCGGGAGTGCCATGCTTTTTGGCAACGAGAGCACTGGATCACCTGTGGCACGTATTGCTCTGGTCTTTGCATTCTTTGATCTAGGTAGACTTTATCCGGGATGTGTTCTCCTTCCGATGTTATCACCGCCACTGGCAATGGATGCCGTTTTGAGCCCAGTCTCTCTGCTTGGTTGATGTTGACATTGGGGTTTTCTTTCCTTATTTGTTGCAGAATTTCTTCGTTGCTCCATTGTAGGTTGACTCTTCGGATCACTCAGCGTCTTACATTCTGGAAGATTGTAGCCGTCACAGTTATCTCCTCGGATAGTCGGAGTTCTTTCTTGCCGTCGTGTTGGATGTCATCCAGCATGTCTGAGGTGCGGTTGGTTCTGTTTAGTGAAGCTATCACTCCTCCTCGAGTTCTCCTAATCTTTGCGACTGCCCTCTTGCCTAATATGATCTCCAGCATATTGATCAATGTTAGCGTTGCCAGTGTAGTGATTGCTGTCCGGCCCGAGCTGGTCTGTCGTAGAAATATTGTGGCAGGAAATTCATAGCTGCCTGTCTTTCGTCGATCTGGAGATGTTTGTGGAGTTGGCTGTGTTGGTTCAGGTGACGCTGGAACGTCACTCAGGGCCTCACTGGTAGTCGGGGCGTCTTCCTGTGGTTCGGTAATAACTGTCTGCGTCTTCCTGGCCTCCGAGTTAGATCGGGTAGATCGGTCAGTGGGTTGTTTCCTCTGTCCGTTGCGCTTTCCGTTAGGTTTGTTTCTCCGAGACATGGTGCTTGCGGAGAAGGCCTCTCGCTCTGGCAAATGCTTTGTATTGTGTTATGTAGGTTTCAGTCCTATCTGATGACAATTGCGGAGAAGTCCTCTCGCCATGCCTATCCTCAAAGGGACCAGCATGTACTGTATTGCGCAGGTATCAATATCTGATGACAATTGCGGAGAAGTCCTCTCGCTCTGCCTATCCTCCAAGGGACCAGCATATACTGTATTGTGCAGGTATCAATACTATCTGATGATTGGCTGATATGGTGGAGCCGATCGCCGATGATGATTCAGTGGAAGCTCATGCCACTAATAACTATTCAGCAGGTTCCCGCGCTTACCAACTAGAGGATACTGTAAGATACATCTAGGCCAATGAGATTGGACCCCCCCCCCCCCCCCCACCCCACCCCCACCCCAAGCATAATGTTCTTCAGTAAGTTGAAAATGTAGAAAATGTTTCTCAAGTCGACCAAAGAAACAAACAACGACACGCAGGCACTTTTCTCAAAAATTTTCGCCCAACAATTAATTTTGATAAAAGTCGTGTTGCTGTGTGTGAAAGTTGATCCTGGAATGTATCTCTACCTTGTGTAGTGGAGTCTTTTGACGCTGCCAGAGCTTCCGCCCCGATTCAACAAAGATAAACAACATAGACCGTACGTGAATTCCCAAAATGATCAGACAGAATCATCAAAGATTTATCGGCCAAATATACACTTATAAGTATTACTACAATGTGGGATCAACCGAATATACACCCATAAGTATTACTGCAATGTGGAATCAACCAAATATACACCCATACGTATTTCTACAATGTAGGATCAGCCAAATATACACCCACGTGTTTTACTAAAATGTGAGATCAGCCGAATATACACCTGTGAGTATTACAATGTGGGATCAGTCAAATATACACCCATAAGTATTACTACAATGTGGGATCAGCCATAAGTATTATTACAATGTGGGATCAGCCAAATATACACCCATAAGTATTACTACAACGTGAGATCAGCCAAATATACACCCATTAGTTTTAATGTAATGTGCGATTAGCCGAATATACACTAAGTATTACTACAATATGGGATCAGTCGAATATACACCCATAAGTATTACTACAATGTGGGATCAGCCGAATATACACCCATAAGTATTACTACAATATGGGATCAGCCGAATATACACCCATAAGTATTACTACAATGTGGGATCAGCCGAATATACACCCATAAGTATTACTACAAAATGGGATCAGCCGAATATACACCGAGAAGTATTACTACAATATGGGATCAGCCGAATATACACCCATAAGTATTACCACAATGTGGGATCAGCCGAATATACACCCATGAGTATTACTAAAATGAGGGATCAGCCAAATATACACCGTTAAGTATAACTATAATGTGGGATCAGTCAAATATAGTTCCATAAGTATTATTATAATGTGGGATCAGTCAAATATGCACCCATAAGTATTACTATAATTTGGGATCAGCCGAATATACACCCATAAACAGTACTAAAATAAGGGGTCGGGGATCGTTTACATAAAGTCGCTCTCATCACGGTACGCTGGATAAACTCCTTGATATCCTGCTAGTTTTTCCGTCCCGTGAACTTTCAATCCCAGTTTGTTCTTGACATTTGTTTCCATCGTCCTACTGGTCGACCCCTGCTTGATCTTTCTGGAACCATTCCTCAACGATTACTCTTTTAAAGCCTTTATGACTTTTACACGTAAGTTACACTTTCTATGGCTGATCAGTTCGGTAAAGGGTTAACAACTCATGGTTTCTGGATTTTTAATGTTAAAAAACAACAC